AATTGACCCGCATTAATTTTTTATACGACCATTTGTGTCTTGTCGACCCACATAATAAGTGACACAAATTGTGGTTGACGAATTATTCGCGTCTTGTGTCAATCGATATAATAAGCTATACAGTATGAGTTATTCATGTCGTTGTGTGTTAACCCGCAAAATAAGTAGGTCATGTTTATGTCAAATGTTTTAACCTGATTTCAAATTCTTGTCGTGTTCGTACTAAATGTATTTATATTTATGTCGTGTCATGTCGACCCAAATCGCCACCTCCCTTGTATGAACTACAACTCAAGGGGGTTATCGTTGAAGTCTCAGACAAGCTGAGGATCAAGAAGGAGGTGATTGAGCATGATTAAGATTGAGGAGTGAAGATTTCTGTAGAGTTTCAACAAATAAAATAATGGAGATGTTGACAACTCCTCTGAAGAGGAGTGAGGGTATTTATAGCATAGATAGGATTTTCTTAGCATAAAAAGTATGATGTTTTCAAACCCTGTGAGCTCCACCAAGGTTTGAGGCTGCGTGGTTTGAGTCATGCGTGAGTGAGAGTGAGAGTGAGGGATAATAATATAAAGAAGACTATTTATTCTTTAGTGAGCTGGTGGGCTTGTCCCGCGGGTGGTGCATGTGGACGCCCGAATAGCTCGGACACTATTATATACATGAAAATATTTAAGTGTTTAATTTCTATAACATAATCTTACTAGGATAAAGTGATAAACTTCGTTCTAGAATTTAGATTGGACCATAGAAGCTATATTCATCACCTCAAGCTTATTTTAAGTCGCCTGTTTACCAAATTTGAGCTGAAATTTTTTATTGAAATCCTAAGGAAGAACTTGTGACAGGTTAGGAGAAGGGTAATCGTTGAGGTAGCTGACGCGAGAGTGAGGCATAGGCCCGGTTAAGTAGCTAGATTGTCCACCCAAATACATCAAAATCAGTTCGTGCTTTCAGTCTCAGATATCTTTCATCACGTTTAATATGCCAAAAGCAAGACAAAGCATCTTCCTTTTTTTCCTTTTCTTTCATCCTCTTCTCCTTTATTTGAATTGAGTACACGTATGAATTGACGCTAATGCTGTTTTTTACTGCTCTTATGCTATTAATACTAATACTTGCTTGCAAACACTGTTGTTTTGTTCTTAGAAATGGCATCATATATATATATAAAATCAAAATTCTAATTGAAAGGGACTAATTGAAAGCTATATTATATATGCCTTCCAAAGCAGTAGTTCTGGCTATTAAATTAGTTTCAATGTTTTGCTTTTTCTGAAGTAAATATGATTTATTTATATTTTTTTAATTGTAATTCCCCTTCCCTCCTCTCTAATTTTTATTTGATTATTTCTCTTTTCTGCCATGCGGGGAACAAATGTTGAACCGGACCCGCATCGAGTAAGACTCCATTGACAAGCGTATCAGAGCACCAATGCTTGAAATTGGTGGCCATATGTTACACACAAGCTGCAATTGTTTTTGCACAATGAGTGGGGCACAGTCACAGACCCACTTATATCTAAAATATGCTGTGAGTGGGTACCAAAACCATCCAAATGGTGATACTAGTGGCTGCACATATTAAAAGCACGAATAAATCTTTGATGCTACTGTTGTATCAAGATTCAGTGCATCTCACCAATGAGAGTATTACACATCATAGGAGAGAGAAAAAAATTGTCAGAGAAAATAAAACTTTAGCTGACATGTAATATTTTTATTGGTGGGATGTACTGAATCTTTGGTGCTACAGTAGCACCAAAGATTTGTTCTAAAAGCACAAAGAAAGATTTACCAAAAAAAAAAAAAAAAAGCACAAAGAAACAACCGCTTAAAAAGGCTTAAAGCTACCAGCTACGAAGTGGACCTAAGTGCTTACCATACTTTGAAGTCTTGACCTCGGACCAAACCTTTATTACTCAACTGTACAAAGGATAGATATCATTATTATGCTTGTGCTAATCATCCTTCATATGTTGCCTTCGACTATTGACTCATTGGACCGGATATTCAATAATGCAGCTGAATAATTCACAACCCTTTTTATCCACATCTTTTGGAGTATTTCATCCTCTTCCATTAACTCCTACATGGAAAGAAAGTACGCCTGAAATCTACAAATCATGATGATATTTGTTATTCCAATAAAGAAATTTTACCTCCAATTGGGTACTGTCACATGGTCCATAGATCAATCATGGTTAGTAATTCTTATTTTAAAAATTAACTAGCACTTCATCTGAAATCGTCTATTGGAGCATTGTTTTTTCTCGTTTTATGAGAAAATATTAGTTAGAAATAAAATAAGTAAGAATCATATAAGTGGAAGGGTGTGCATGAACTTAATGCCTTAAGTATTGGATTAAGATACGATATGAAATTCATATTTTATAATGAATATTTGCTTAGTCCATTGATAATGATCATTTTTTTTTATGGACATTTTACCCAAAGGCAGACCTATACGGGGGCCTAAGATGACCCTCCCCAAAAAAATATACCAAAAAAATAATATATATGTAAATGACTTCTTAGTGATGTGGTCTACACTTCGAAATAAGAATATTGCATAATGTAGTGTAGACTTTTTGGTCGATAACTTTGGACCTTCATTTCTAAGCATAGATTTCTTGGTGAATAACTTCATTTTTTTGAGTCATCAAACATCAAGAGGAAAAGAAAAAGGGAATTGTGTTAATCCATTTCTGATCATCATTCTTCGCAAAATGAAAAAAATCCAATACTTTGACCGGTACTACTCAATGTATGGGCATGGGGAGAGATTAGAAGAAGATATAAAGAAAGGGGCTAATTATGTTGAAGGAGTTGAGGCCAAACTATGCCACACATGTATATTTGTGTTTCATGTATCACAGATTCTATTCCTGTAAGTAGGGGTGTTCGCGATTTGCATTGAATCGGTTTTGGAAAGAAAAATCATCTGATCTAATCCCTTGGGTTTGATTTTTTTTTTTTCAAATTCAATCTGATCCAATCCAATTTTTTTTGGTTTGGATTGGATCGGTTTTCGGTTTTTTGAAAATCCTAAAATTTGTTTCATGATTATTGTGCAAATAACATCTTTTATATAGACTTTGTAAAAAAAAAAAATTGAAATGCAAAAGCATCAGTAAATGATAATATTTTTATTTTGGGTAATGAGATATGAAGCTCTATACATATGACATTTTGTTGATGAGATGTGATTATGATTTTTCTTAGGTTTAGTTGATGGGTTAATGGGTCTTGAGTTTAGAAATTTTTGGGCTATTATTGGGAAAAGACCTAAGTAGGTAGAGGAGAATTAATATATTGGATCGGTTTGGATTGGATCGATTTTCATCAACCAATCCAATTAAAATTTGCAATTTTTTTCGATTTTCAATTTTCGGTTTATTCGGATTTTTCGGTTCGGTCACCGCAGTTTAAATCGATTTGGATCAATTAATGAACACATCTACCTGTAAGTGTTTATCGGGAGATGTGATGTGGGAAATTGTAATGTGGTGAGGAAGAGACCCGAATAACAAAGTTGATATTAGTAACTAAGGATGGAAACTTGTAATGAAAACGGAAATGAGTTATTGAAAGCATCAGAACCAGACACTATAGAGTGCTATTATTACTTGGGGGTGAAGTGTCAAAATGGCATGCCTTTTTAGGATAAACAACACATGATTTTCTTTGTTTTTGTTCTGGGAAACCCCCTACAGATTAGGCCCAATACGGTCAGGCCCAATTGTCTATGGGCGCCCACGTCAGCCCTACTGGCCAAAGGCGAGTGACGTCCTCCACCTCCTACCACCCAACAGAAGTGTTCCCTAGGTAAGACATTTTAATGTCCTACCTAGGGATCAGACACCAGCAAAGAGATCCTTCAGGGTCCCTAAATAGAAAATATCCGCTAGCAGGGACAAGGTAGCGACTGCCACCACACAAACAGAGGGTGTCATCGCTGCCACCGCCTGAGCATAGGGCATCTAGCAGCTCCCAAGGAGAGTTGACCTCCTCATACCTATCCGCGTGAGGTAACTCCCCCCTTCTCCTCCCCATAACATTTAACAGAAGATTATTATCTGACCCTTTGCATTACCAACTTGCAATATACTAACTTCTACCCCCTCCCCATACTTGTTAGATCTATATTTGGAACGTGGCTGGCTAGCTTGGTCTGTACCTGTGCTGGTCACCTCACCCATATAGTGACCTTACTCCCTCATAGGGAACATATTGGGCAGGAATAATTTATACGGTACAGTTTTTATGATAAGAACATGATTATTTGGGTCCATATAATATGGAGCCCGATAACTTTATATTAAATTTAGAGTTTTCTTTAAGCTATGCTAAGATGATTGAAATATAGATAACTCAAATAAATTAAATACTAGATTTTTTTTTTTTTTTAGATAGTTTGGAGACATCCCGCCTATAAACTCTTTCAACTACCTTCTTGTCTTCGGAATATGGCCACTGGCTTCTCATTAAAATATATAGAGTGCATTGGACCACTGTCATCGGATGCAAAAAATTATGATATGTTTTATGAAAATTATAGAATTTTTTTTATATCTAAAGTAATTATATAATTTCATTAGGTTCTTCCTAATAGGCATTTTTACATCCTGATCATTCCAACCAAAAGTGACACTGAATAATATAAATTTTTCCCTCATCATTTAATTCCCTGGGTCCGCCATTAATACTGCCCCCCTAAAAAAATCTTCACAAATAGTATGCAAAAATCAAGTGAATTAAATGAATCACAAAAGAATAAAAAACAAGTGAACGATACGAGAAAAGCCACTCCATGATGAGTAACATTCAACTATGCAAAAGACAGTAATAATTGAAAGCGTACATCGACTTTTTAAAGAATTCTGATGATGGCATACGTTGATAGCTGTGACTCCGCATTTGGTTACATGAAAATAAAAGAGCTCCCATATGTAGGTATAATTAATGTATACTCTACTATTTTCTAAGCACACCTAATTTATTATATACGACACCCTCTTATATAAACATAAGCCTTCACTGGTGCACTGGTGTGCTATTTCATTCTAGTGGCTCAAGAAATAGGTTAAGTTTCGAGCTGAAAAAAGATGGACGGTGATAAACAAAAATGGATCATCCGAATGAAGCCATTGATTGCTGTTGTGTTCTTACAGTTTGGACTTGCAGGTATGGATGTTCTATCCAAGGCTGCACTGAACAAGGGAATGAGCAATTATGTTTTCGTCGTTTATCGCCATGCTGTTGCTTTCGTTGTCATAGCACCTTTCGCGGTGATCTTGGACAAGTATATTAATTTCTCTCTTCCCTCTGTGTGTGTGTGTGATTATATGAACTTGTGATATTGAAGTTATGCTACATTCTTTTGACAGGAAAGTAAGGCCAAAGATGACATTTTCAATCTTCATGAAGATAGTGGCGCTCAGCGTACTAGAGTAATTTCCTGCATGGCTAAACACATATTCATTAATATTCTCCTATCAGATTCATGGATAACACTCACTTAACTCTGATAATTATTACTTTCTTATGGTAGGCCAGTTATTGACCAGAATTTATATTTTTTGGGAATGAAGTACACAACTGCTACCTTTGCCGTTACCATGTACAATATCCTTCCTGCCATTACCTTCATGATGGCTTGCATACTCAAGTAATGTTTTTCACTCCCTGCTATAAAAGAATATTTCAGATTTGGTGATAAAGCTAAACAAATATATAGCATTCCAGATTGACTATTGGAGATTATTAAATACGTGCACACAACAATTGTGTTAACTAAACAAATAAAAAATTATCACTATTTGTCTAGTTGTTTGGTTCTTTTCTTGTTTTGGATACATATAGAAAAATATTTAAACTAGCCTAATTAATGCTCAAATATTTAAATCCTGTTATGTCTGTAACTGGATGCATTCGGATCCGCGCAATATTTTTCTGTCAAACTCAAAAACATATTATATATGAAGAAGCAACCTCTTTATTAGTTTGGTGAAGTACTAGTAGTCTAAGCCCGTAAAAAGAGTTTATTATGCCATTTTTAAGCAATATATTTGAAATTTAAGTTTGAAGCAATTTATCTGGTTCTGTTCAGGCTTGAGAAGATAAAAATGAAAAGTATACGAAGTCAAGCAAAGGTGGCTGGGACTTTAGCCACTGTTGCGGGTGCCATGGTCATGACACTGATAAAAGGCCCAGTACTTGAGCTTTTTGGGAAACACGGAAGCAATAGCCACAACCAGAATAGTGGCGGGGCAAATCTGCAACATGCAATAAAGGGATCAGTGATGATCACAATTGGCTGCTTTAGTGCCGCTTGCTTCATGATTCTCCAAGTGAGTTATTATCTATCATTGTTAATAAAACATAAGATCCCAAAGACAAAAAAAAATTCCCTTTTGTTTTTATGGGGTCCCTAATACAGCTTCTTCTCTTTCACAAAAGGCTACTACCCTTGAAACCTACCCTGCTGAGCTCTCTCTTACAGCATGGATATGCCTATTGGGAACAATTGAAGGTGGCATAGTGGCCCTGGTTATGGAAAGGGGTAACCCGTCAGTATGGTCTCTGAATTGGGATACAAAACTGCTGGCTGCTGTCTACAGTGTAAGTTCTTTACGTTTATGGTGAACATAACCTCCACCTCTTGACAAGCCTTTAAAAAAATATACACATCTACCACTAAAAGAGTTTCAAAGGCTCTAAAACCAACACTGGCATCCGAAGCCTAGTCTATGTTTCAAAGGCATATTGAAGAAGATATTATAACAAAAGGAAGAACTGATGAGTATTAGCTTTAAAAGAGAATTTAAATGCCACCAGAAAAGGATTTTCCTGTCCCAAGTTTCAAGTTTATACAAGCTTTAAATAATAACACAGAGCTTTGTAACTAAATTAGCTATGCTGTTCGAAAGGAATACATATAATAACTATTTTCTTTCCACCATAAATTTACAAAAAATTTGCATGCAGGGCATAGTTTGCTCAGGAATGGCTTATTACATCCAAGGAGTAGTGATGAAAGTTAGAGGCCCAGTCTTCGTAACAACTTTTAATCCCCTCTGCATGGTCATCGTGGCTATCATGGGCTACTTCTTTCTGGCTGAGCAAATGTACCTTGGCAGGTAATTGTGAAAATCGAGTCCCAACCAAAACAAATGCCCAGAGAACTCAATCTAAAACAAACTTTTTAAAAATTAACTAAAGGAATCTGATAAATTTTACAGGTTGGTTGGTGCTATTGTCATTATTTTAGGGCTGTATCTTGTGGTGTGGGGTAAAAGCAAAGATTACGACTCACCAAGTCCAACTATTAAAGAAAATATATTGCCGGCTAAGCAAACTGTAGATGAGAGCAACGGCAAAGAGGAGGATTCTAATTACGAGGTCATCACTCTCAATAACTCTGGTGCGGGAAACAAAGATCGAGATGAACAAGTATGAGGAAGCATACTAAATTTAATCTAAATTTCAACTTCAATGCACTGTCCAAACGCCTATTTAACAACAGCAACTACATAGGTTTCTAGTTGTTCGATCCTCTTCAATTATGATGTAATAGTAGAGGTTTTTCATGTAATAGTATGGTATGTCAATAAGACAAGAAAAATACCAACAAAAGAAGAGGGTTCAACTTTGAATATACATTATATTGATACAGAGCACGATAGCAAGTATTAACCCACAACAGCTAGTTGGAGATATATTCCCATCAACTCCCTTATCAGTTAAACTTCAAATGACACCATCGAGATTACAAGTGTATAAAATATAATACAAAATTTCATTTTCCAATTCAGCGTAACAAAAATAGTAAATGGCTCAATAGGCATATATAATACGAAGAAACAGGGTTGGATGAAAAACAATTCTTACCTAATGGGGAACATAGCCCCTAAAAAAACATACAAACATAAGATAGACCACAATCCTTTATCTTTCAAAGAGTACAACTAACTCCATCACATACAATACTGAGAACATGCACCGGAATCTAGACCACGATATCAAAATTAAATGCCCTCCATGAAATTTTTTGACTACTTACTGCCATCGTAAATCCAATTAGGATACATCTGCTTTGTTTCCAGAGTTCCCTTCTATCACCAAGGATGACTTGTCCTCAATTGAGAAAAATATTCAAACACCCAAGTTAATGTTGTTAGTCAGTCAGCAAAGGTGTATGCAAACGATTTACTACTATCACCAAACGAGCATCTTCCAACCTTACGACTCAAACAATGCTCCCTTACGATAATTGCTTCAATTCGACTTTCCCATATATGCGCTGGAGTTCCTGAGTAGCAACTAAAAAGGAATCTGTAAAGGAGGGAGAAAGGGACAATGTGAGAAGGAATAAATTTTTACCTAGACAAAGGATTTTGCATCAATACAAACAATGAAGATATCAAAGTTGATTAAAAAAAACGCAAAATAATTAAAGAAGACAAATTGCATCACCTTTCCAAATGTGGAAGGATTTCTGATTGATAGGTGAACCAGTTATAGTCTGAATCACTTTAAATATCATATTCTGTGGAGTACTCCTGAGCTCTTGTACAATCCCATATACAGTCTTCCCATTCTCAAAGTAAATGTGATTATTGGGGTGTTTTGTCTTGCAACCAGCATGTCGTTCAAATTCATATGCATTAATTAGCTGGAGAAACTTAACATCAGTCAGAGACAGCAATTTGGCTCAAAAAGAATTCTACATCCATGATCAGGATTTAACTGACTTACCTTCGAAAAATTACATGACTGGCAGCTGCATAAATACCCAGAACCTTTTATGACACCTTGAAGTTCCTTCTAGCAAGCATAAGAACAACCAGACATGTGATCAAAGTTAAGCTACTGTGAAAGATTAATTCATGAATACTAAAATTTACCTCTCGCGACCAGGTCTTATACTTTACAGGGACTCCATCTAGCATACCGGTGGACAGCAAACTTCTGACATTTGAAGGGAAGTTGTTTGAAGGAGCCTTCTTAGACCTTTTTATCTCCTCTTTTATCTTGGAAATGTTTTCAGTTCCAGATGCAGACATCAGGGCTGCACTTATGAGTGAATTAGAATTCGATTTACCCAACTGTTTCTCATTCAGAGCTTCTGAGTTATGTGAAGCTGCTAGACCCATCAATAGTTCATTGCTGGAAAAGAATCTTCCAGAGGGAGATGTATCATCATCATCACAGCCACCAAAGGATATCATAGTGATCTCTTCTTTTTTAGAAGATTGAACAACTAATGGCATGTTATTCTGCCCCTTGTGGCAGTAGGTTTGACCCACTGATATTGTACCATCTTCCCCCTTATTGAATACGTGATCTCTTGACATAGAATTGCCATCTGCTTTGTTATAAGTTTGAGCAATAGATATCACATTACTATCCACCTTGCTAAATCGTTTATCCATTAATATTGTATCACAAATCTCTCTGTAGCTCTGATCAATAGATAAGTTGTTATCTTCCTTGTTATAAAATTGACCCATTGAAATAAGATTATTATCTGTCCCACCATAAGCATTGTCCAGGAATATTATACTGTTGTCCCCTTTGTTGTAGGGAGTTGTTGAGGAATTATCACCACCCTTGTGTGCTTGAGGGTTTGACCGAGAGTTGTTAACTACCCTCTCATAGGGATGATTTGTAGGAACAGACATGACATTCTCAGATTCCTTCACCATACTAACTTCAACATTCCTAGTTCCACCATAATTAAAACCTGAACGAATATCTTCTAATGTAGTGGATATGGATAAACCAAACGAAGAATCACTCCCAAAGGGTTCCATGTTGTTCTTTCTTTCCACACTCAACATATCTACCCTAACAGAGGAAATGTTTCTGTTTTCAGAATTCGTAGTCCTTGTGGGAGCATCTGGGTCAAATATTTGTTCAGTGAACGATTGAAAACATGAAGGATTTTCCCATGAAGAAGTATTGCAGCTGGGCATTCCTGTTAAGAAACTGTTGTTTGAAACCTCTACTGCCTGTTTCTTATTAGGAAACAGATCCACTTCAGGGCTATCCATGAACCACAGATGAGGACGCTTGGACTCAACTCTAGAAGAATTTTCATATGTCATCATGTCACCATCATTCATAACCCCAGGATTCTTTGCTAGCCAAAATGCCTGATTCTGGGAAGACTGTCACAGCAAATTCCTCAGAAAGATGCCCTTAAAAAAGAATTTTAAAGAGAAAAATGCTAATTCTATATCTGTGCTTGAGATAGAATAAACTATGATTAGCATGGATCATACCACCCTTCATGCAAGTAAAAGATAAAATTAACTCAATTTACTTGTTGCACAACTTAAACATGTTGATAAATTTCTTAACCATCATACACATTTTCCTTAGATGTCTACCCTTGCCCTCATGCTTTGCAAGGACCAAGACAAAAGTTACTATTCTAATGGTAAATCCTTCTAACATTTACCTCCAAGACAAAGTTCTGGTTGTCGTTAAAAAATGGACCAAAAACATGCAATAAAAAAGTGAAATAGCTCATTATTTTCCTTATGCTTTTCCCATTCAAGTTTATCGCATTTAAAAGGCCTTGATCCACTCAAAATTCAAACATGAGAAGTTTCACCATAAAAAATAAAGATAATTCCCAACAAAATGTAACTCAAAAACCCAAGTTCCAAATAATGGAGAAATGACACGTACCATTCCTTCTTCTTTTTTCACTGCAAATTCCTCGTTAAAAAGCGTATTGGCCTTTCTACAACCCAAAAAAAAAAAAAAAAGTTCATATCACAAACAACGAATCTTCTTACGAAGTTCAGAAGAAGCAATTGCATGCAAAACTTGCCAATGTGCATACAAAAATCAACTTGGAAGTTGAAAGTAAATCTAAAGCTTTAAACGAAAATGTAATATTAATAATTCGTAGAGGCAACATATTTCCAGTGATACTAGGCAAATGCATGTTTAGATAATGAGGGAGAATAAAACAACTATAACGTTAGGATATGCATTGCTTTTGATTCATATCCTATTTACACTGAAATAGAAATGTAAAAACCCTAATCTTAGGACACCGAGGGAAGGAAACCAGGTATCTGAAGTACACATACCCTCACCACCGGGGATAATTAGTGACAACAGAGACTCGATGAAATTTCCGGCGACGATTGACCTGTGAAAACTCCGGTGATTGTACGGAACAAAGCCGGGGAGAGATCTTAGAAACAGGGTAGGTGAAAATTTTGAGGAATTTGTTGAGGAAGGTGGTGCACCGCATGATCGCATGATCAAGTTAAATAATATATTTGAATGAGTGGGGCCGCCCAGGTTCACCATGTGCTGGAGCACCATGTTAGCAGAGTTTAACTTACACACCAAAGAAACACCATCTTAGCAGTCAGCAGAGTTTAATTCAAAGTGTTACATGCTTATTCCGTTTAAACAAATTCGGGTTCAATTTTGTGTGAAGTTGAAATATCCTTATTTGGCCATCTCAGTTGACGTCAAAGGGAATATTGAGAATGTGGAGATCGGAGCACGTTTTTTATCCTCCCTAGTATTATCTTGAGTTTAAAGTCTTAATCAACCGCTTTTTTCCAATATTATTTGTAAGAGAGTTTAAAATCTTAATCTTTTAATTAATTTCAAGATTCGTCTTGAATTGAATTAATTTTAAAGTGATTAATCGATTGAAATATTTTCAAAAAAAAATATATCCTTATTTGGAGAGTTACACCACTATAATACGAAGAAAAAAATGTTTATCATTTTAGATGACATAAAGTTATGTCATTTCAAGAGAGATATAGACACAAAATAATTTTTTTATTTAAAATTTAAATTAAAAATAAAATCATCCACTTTCTCTTCCATGATTTTCATTTTTTTGTGTTTATCTCTATCCTAAAATGACATAACTTATGTCATTTAAAATGACAAATATTAAACCCTAATATGAATGTTATCACTCTAACAAGATTACCTCCCATGACAATATATGAGTAGCTTTTTTTATGGATAATATAAATAACTTATTTACATTGAGCTCAAAACGATATAGTTTTGAGAAAGAAATCAAAGTATTTTTATAATTATAATTTATTTCAGGATTATAATAGTCTTTTTCATTATAATTTTATAATTTTTCAACCCAAAACAAAAACAACATCATCATAGGAACGAACGTAGATAATTTATCTACATTCACTTTAAAAAAGCCAATATATATAATTTAAAAATAAAAAAATTTAAAATCCTATTTGAATACTGTTTTTAAAAATAATTTTTTAATTTTTCAGAAAAAAAAAATTTGATAAAATTTTTTTTGTAAAAAAAATTAAAATTATTATTTATTTTTAAAAAAATCAATTTGAGCTATTTTTATTTTATGTTTTAATTTTTAACTTTCAAAATTAAAAAATATTTATTTTTGTAACTATTATACTAAACAATCTTAAGTAAAAAAAAACAGAACACACCATTCACCACGGTTTCTATATTACTCCATTCGAGATGCGGTGTATCACACTTGGCATATTACCAAAGGTAAATTAGGGCTGCTAATGCAAAAGACAGAAGGCCTCCCATGTTACTTTACACAAGTTAGAACTTGTGTTATTTAACTTATCAAATGCGTGTGTATAAAAAAATATATTTTACATGAATGCAAGTGGGATAATGTATAAAAAAATAGCTAACTCGAAAGGTACCTCAGTTGACAACTGAGCTCTCAAGAGTTTGCTTGAGTCAGAGTTCTGCCTCAAGTAAATTCTTAGAAAAATTTTGAGAGTCTGTGCCTCCCTCCTCGAATGAGAAGATTAGTCTCATTCTTCCTCTGGTAGCGAAGCTCAATGCATTCGTTGTTTCAACGAGGGGCTAGTCCACAGAGCCGTATCCCGAAGGCAAGGTGACCGGGAGAGGTTCAATGAAGGGCTAGCCCACAGGGCCGTATCCCAAAGGCAAAGTGTGACCGGAGGAAGTTGAATGAAGATACCTCTAAATTATACAAAAAAAAAAAATATATATATCTAGAATATTATTGGTATAATTTACAATCATTCTTATCATTGCATTTTAAAATTTACAAATACTATCAATCAGCATTTTTCTTTCCCTCAAAATTCGCCGTGTCTTGGGAGAATATTGACAGCTCTCCTAGTTACCAGAGAAGTTGAGGTGTTTAACATGGTGAGATTCTGTCACCCTAAAATTCCAATAAGAATCTCTTACCTTAACCCCAAAAAATTAAAAAAAGAAAAGAACTCTATAGTACAAGAATAATATACTATGAACTATGAAGTATTCAAAAAATAAGGACACCGAAGTACTTTTCGGTCTCTTCACCCCACCCCTGTAGGTGCATCACGATTAGCCATCCAATCCCACACACCATAGTACCGCGAGCTGCGGCTACTTGGTGGTCGTGTCAATTTTGGAATGTGTCCTCTGCTATGAACTCAGAACCTGGGTGCGGTGTCTAAGCAACTTTGTGCCCTCGTTAGTAACAAGAGCTGCTCTTCTACTTGTACTTTAGCAGCGCAAGTCGATGACAAAGCAGCATTTGTCAATGGCTTTAAGGGGCATGATGACCTGGGGATAGTGACATTTGAGGGAATGAGATTCTTGCTTGTCAAGTCCACTTTAACCGAGAATAGTGAATACACAGGCCTGTGGTCTGAGAATTTGGACTCTCCTCGAACATACCAAATCTGACTTAGTCCTTCCCCTTTCCACAGAATTCGGTCGCACCTATTTTTAACATCCCGCATCAGTTACAAACATTCAGTATAAGAAAAACATCATTAGTAGATCGATAATCATGTAATAATCCTAATCTTTATTCTCATCTGGCCATGCAATTACAAAATATATATATATAAAAAAAAAAAAAAAAAAAAACTAAAGGACATAGTGCATATAATAAACAATCATCTAATTAACGTTTCAAACGGCATGTGGATGACAAAACGTACACTTTAGATTAACAAGGAATTCTCGAATCTTACCAAGCAGGAGTCCGTCGTTTCTCCTTGGATTTGGAGGTTTGGGCAACATAGTTGTCAGAATTGGTCAAGTATTTGTAAGTAGGAGCAAAGTATATGCTCCCTTCGTTCCAACCTTGAAACACTCGACCAGCTCTCTGCTCTATCCTTAGCTGCCATGTCCAATCAATACAACATTGTGAGATACACAGGCCATAAAGAACATGACGTAAGAAACAGACACATTCCAAAAATAAAAATAAAAAATTATATATCATTGTGAACATAATTTACCTGATCCATCTCTAGTAGTGCCTGCCAATTATTCTTCTTTAGTAGCTCATGCGTATCATCGTAACCAGCAGCAAGCCGATAATTCAAATCCCCGAGCCAAATAATATTACTGTAGATATACCAAAAAAATTCAATCAACGATCAGAAACAAATGCCAAGGAGAAAGCAGAACGTGAATAGTAATAGATCCTTCGATTTATTCGTGAATTTAAACAAAGGACTTACTCGTGTTCCAATATGCTTTCAGGAGAGAGTGTATGACCAAGAGATTTATTATATGTGTGAGAAAATTTAGTTTTCTTCAAGATTTCCGTGACGTCAAAGTTTCTTCGCACCTCGTCACCATATTTCTCTCCAGAGGCCAAGTGGGTGCAAACAAAGCAGAACGTGGTGCTATACAATGTCATGCTAATTGATATTGAACCCTGTTTCAACAAGCACCAAAAAAAAAAAAAACACAAAAATTTAAGCAATCATACCACTGTAGCTAGTTCAAAGTCTTGCCCTTGTCTAGTGTCTACAACTCAAACGTCACATTCCACAATTTAATTTAACTTCAAAAAAATTTAAATTTTTTATTTCTCTCAAAATTAATTCTAATCGTAATGATGGTGATTTGCACACGAACCTTATTTCCAAGGTAGCCCATGATGCCTCTGCCAACGCAGGATACCTTTAAATTGCTAACTTGGTTGTAAAGATCCGCTCGTACCCACACAGACAAAAAGATACCGACCATTTGTTTGCTTGCTGCTACGCAATAGCTTCGCTGATCGCTTGTTAATTCTGAGAAACTGCTATTATTGGCGGTGTTGTCGTTATCATAATTTGAACTTTCATGGTCGCACTTGTTGGCGTTCAAGGCTTCACGAATAAGGGTCAGCCACTTCGCTGCTGGGCCACTGTCCTCGGGCCCAAGCACGTTCCCTGCATTTAGCGGTACAATTTCTTGGAACCTAACAAGGTGGCAATTCAATACATGAAAAATTAGACTTTTACTGTTACATCTCCAAAAGAAAGTCTGAAAAATAATTATTTTATTAAATAGAAATTATTTTCAGATTGCAGTAATCCACTGGAGAGATAGGGGTAAATTGCTAATCCATGTTGCACTAATGCATGATACGACTATACAGAGTATATATATCCCTTAAGTATGAGACTATCGTATGATATTAATACCAATATCTATAGATTCCATAAATATACACATACGTGAACAATACGGAAGGGAAAAAGGAAAGAGTAAAAATTGCACTTCGAAGTCCTCTGACATATGGGCTCTTGGTTCAGTCAGTCATTGCTATAAGAGCAAAAGACTTTTGAGTCACCATTAGCCAATAATAAAATAGTTTTAAGGTTGTGAAAACTAGCCGTGTAATTATGAGTTTTAGTGTGTACTCGTTGAATATTTAAAGCGGTTTATAATAAATAAAAGAAAAATAATTATCTCATGCAACGTAGACAAAATAGTGAGATTCACTATTTTATTTTATTTTTTTTGAAAAAATAGTGGACCCCACAATTTTATCTCTGTTGTATGAAATAATTATCTCATGCAACATGAGATTAATGGATCCCTAAATAAAAGTAAACAAAAACACCAGGATTACTACAAGATTAACGACAAAAAAAAGGGTAGGTAATAAAAATACCCAATAACGTAGACGTCGGCTGGCGAAGGAGACGTCAGCCAATTCCTCAAGCTCAAGCATTCGTTGGGTGACTTCCCCCCGACATTCCACGTCCCCACGAACATCCTACACAAGAAATATTCATTACATCACACCCACAATCATTTTCTCTAAAGTCAAGAAGAAATATTTCAGAAAAATAAGTACATGGGTATGAATGTATGATGATGGAAGCATTTACCTAAGTTTGAGAGCATCAGTGAAAGGAGTTGTTTTCTTCCCAAGCATTCCATTTGTAGAATCCATCAACCACCCCTCTTTGAAAATAAAGCCAAAAATCAATTATTTCAGCAACCATAAGGAAAAAGATAATCCGGTAAATATTAAAATAATAATAATAATAATAATAATAATAATAAAATGCTATTAAACCTAAGCTAAGCTGTTTAGGCTTGCACTTGCAGTCAGTTGTTGTGAAACTGCAAGTTCGGAGCCCAAAATCATGCCTCCCGGAAAATTAATCGTCCACGTGGCAGGTTCATTGGAAAAGAACCAGATGGGATGGGACCCAACCCAGGAGCCTCGTGGCGATTTTCCGGTTCGGTCTAGTCATATTGAACAAGCCGTTCATCTGATCTGACGGTCTACAAGACAGTGCCGCAAATTACCCGATAAATCATCCCCAACGACGACGTAACGATCTTGGTCCGAACAACTCTTTCTCCTGTCCATCGCGGTTCCTGAGTCCCACATAGACAACAAATTCCCAATGTCAACCCCCACCCAAAAACGTGAAAAACGAAACTCAAATCGAAAACTAAGCACAATCATAGAAGAGTCGAAATTCACCTGTTACAGAATAATCTGATTGAAACTTATCAGCACTGTTATTTATATTAAGCCACTTCCTCACGGGTAATTTCGGCCACGAAGACTGCTACTCGAAAATAAAAAAATAAATTAAAATAAATGAATAATTTCAGGATCAGCGAGATGATGTGAAAAAAGAGAGTGTTATTGGCACAGTAAGACAAGTTGGTGCATACCTTGGATATCTTCTTCGACTCTGTTCTCATTGCTCCTCCACCTTCCGATCACTTAAAACTGAAGGCAAATCGGATAGCAAAGGAATCAGAAAATTTGATTTGGGAAACGCAGGTGGCTATGGTTTAATAACAAGCTGGGGATTATCCAAATCCACGAGATTTTTATTTTTTTTATTTTTATAATTCAATTTGAGAAATTTTATATTCATTGGATGAAGTCTTATATGGAAAACAATAAAATTCAATTAAATGGGTCTAGATCTTTATTTTCCTTGTACGAGAAAACTATGTTAATGTTTAAAATCTTAAACTAGTGTCTGAGAGGTTTTCAACGGCAATATAAAAAAACCTAGTTGCAGGGGGGAACAGAGACAGCTTCTGATTCCGAAACTTAAGCATATAATATTCAAGAGAAAGAGAGATAGAAAAAAGAAAAAAAGAAAAAAAAAGGCCAGGTTCATCGTTTTCCTTCTAAGAACCCAAAGTTTTGCGCTTTACAGATAAGTAAACAGTGCAGGGATGAATGATTAAAGAAACAAAAAAAAAAGTTTGGGTTTCTTTACATTTTCTTCATTCTCAGACTCTGTATAATCATCTTAAAGCAAAGAATGAGATCTCAATCAACATCCATCGAAAAGTTGCACCTTTTCAGACTTTCCTCTTGCCAGAAAGAAAGACTCACCAAAATAAATTTGGCACACAAACTGAGTAACTGAAATCCAAACACAAAAAGAAACTCCGCATACAAAGCTAATCAATCTAACTGGACCCAGATGCAAAGATTGGTTCGCTGTCATGTAGAAGGTGGTGAAAATGAAACAATAACATTAAAAAAAAAATAGATATACATTAATCCCAAGGTCTTTTGATAACTCAGAACAAAGACAAGCTGACTTACAAACAGGGCAATAGTTGTAGTATAGAAGGAAACTCAAATAGAACGTTATTGGAACGTGGGTCAACGGCATTGCTAAATAGAGAATGACGCGTGACGGTTTATGGAAGGAATTAGTAGTCATGCTAAAAGGAAATGGCAAAGTAAACAGATCAAGCAGGGGAAAAAGAACTTACAAGAATCGACCAAGAATGGGGTTATGAGGTTTCAGTTTTACACAGAGAATGAACAGGGTGGTGATGAATAGACAAGACTTTTCTGATCGCAGCTTCTATGACCCTTTCTTTTTCGTTTATGGTGTAATGGAAGATGGGAGCACATGAGAGAGAATAATGATGTATCTGCGGTGTCCTATAGTTTTTGCTTGTTTTCCTTTTTTTGGTTTGGTGAAGTTGTGAAAGAACGCAGAGAAGGGGTTTGGATTGTTACTTGGGAAATCAAAAAAGTGTTATGCGGCTATCAAATTTATATGTGTCTTGACTCTTGAGATTGGAAACTGGGACAAGAGGAACGGAGCTAAAAATAAGTGGAGATTTAAGTCTCAGAAGTTGAAATCCCTTATTTTTCTTTTTTCTTTTAAAAAATAATTTATTATTTGATTTCTTGTGGCGGGTGTTGTGATCTTTTTGCATTGTGAAACCATAGGATAAATAAATTGCAAGAGTTACGATATTCTCGGTACTAATTTTTTTTACTTCTATTCCGTTACCATTTTAATTATCAATGGATTAGAGAAAAAGTTGAATGAAGAGAGAGAAAAGAAAAACAATTTTTGAATCCAATGATGATTTTAAAGTGATAATAAAATGGTAGTAGAAAAAATTAGTAGTAAGAATATCCTACCTCAAATTACAAATGTATCTGTACACTTTTGTGCAAGGATGGTCTTTTTTTAAAACAAAATATATTTTTCTAAAAAAAAATTTACTTGGATGTTTGTCTTTTAAAAAAATAGAAGTTATAAAAAAAAAGAAAAATTTATTTTTTTGGAAGTTAAAAATTTTAACTTCTAAAAAAAAAAGTTAAAAGTTAACTATTTTTTTCGAAAATCAAATATTTTTTAAAAATTTAAATAACTTTAACTTTGTAATAAATATTTCTAAATGGAAAAATGTTTCTGCAATTAATGCAGATAAGTTATCTGCATTTATTCCCAAAATGATGTCGTTTTGGGATTGAAATCTTAAAAAATTATAAATATAAATACTATTATAACCCTGAAATAAATTAAAATTACAAAAATACTATAATTTCTGTCCCAAAACGACGTCGTATTGAACTTACAGCAAATAATTATCTGCAGTAACTGCAGAAAAAGCGAACCCATAGACAAAACATAAATAAGAATTTTTTTGGAATCCCATCAAAATGGACCTAATTATTTGCTACCGTACCAATTCCAACCGCAGGGAAAATCCCATAGCTATTATTAAATGGATTCTATCATATGTGAGATAATCTCCGTGCATTAATTAGTTTATATATAATTAAGATAAATTACTTTTACATGACCTCATATTAAATGAGAAAGTTTATTCAGATATTTGACTAAACAAAAGTTTTTAGAAAAAATATATTAATTTAATTTATTTTTAAAAAATATTTTAAACTAATGTAATGAATCTCACACGTTGATCCTGCGGAACATATTTTGCGGAGTAATAATGTGGGACTTAGTGTTGATGTGTAAGACTTAGAGCTAGTACGAAAGTTTCGTATGAAACTTTATGGGACTTTTTAAGCCTTGCATTATTAAAAATAATATTATTAAATTTGGATTGATCGACTCAGTCGAGATATTAGGATAGTGGGCCACTGGTTCAATCAATGGGTCATTGATTCCACCACATGAATCGGATATATATATATATATATATATATATATATATATATATATATATATAATGTTTCTTAAGCTGCTTGAGATAATTTTATCTCCAACTATCAACTAATAATCGTACAAAGATTGATCAATGGTGATAAAGAAAGAGAGAGAAAAAGAGAATCATAACCATTCAAAGATTAATTAATCAATTAATATAAGGAAATAAATAAATAAAACTACGTAGTTTTGGGGTGGCCGGAGATAAATTTATATCAAGCTGCATGAGAAATATTTTTCCCATATATTTATGGGTTATGTTTATCTCATTTTACATGAGATAAACATAAAATGAGATAAACATCTCTCCTACACACACAAAAAGGGTTGGGTCCCACCACTTTTTTTTTCTCTCTCCTCTTACATGTGGGTCCCACTTATACTTTTATTTCTACAACATGAGGTAATTCTTTTCCTACAACATAAGAAAAATATATCCCTATATTTATATATATATTTATATTTTATACTGAATTATATCATAAATATTTTAAATGATGCAAGTGAACCAAGAACCAAATGTAGCTTAGTGATAAATACTATAATTTATATCTTCACAAGAAGGGTTTGATCCCACTAGATGCAATTTTGAAATAATTCCATTAAATGATATGATATATATATATATTTATATGTTAAATGGTGCATATTAGCTAACAAACAAACTCAGCCCAGTGGTAAGTTGTTGTTGGGCATCCTCACAGACTCGAGTTTGAATCTCAACTGTTGCAACATTGGAAATATTTTTAAGGAGAATTTTTTTTTATTCAAAAATCACAATTTCCAAAATATGGTGAAAAAGTGAGTTTCTTGGTAATGTTACCAAAAAGTTTTTGGTAGACCAAAATATTCATGAGAATGTTAGGTTAATTTTCTTGATGCTATGTATAGTTGATTGTAAAATATTGCTGGAATTGTTAATTAAGGTTAATTATGTCCCAAAAAATTATCAAATATTATCTTCACATGAGATTCTCAAAATACCATCAATTTAGTGGTATCTTAAGATAGAATTTTTCTTCACGAACATAAATCCCGGGAATCCGACTTTTACCGGAAATTTTTTACATCCTCATATCAATGTGGGTAAATCGAATATTCAATCTCGCTTTTTTATGATTTTAAAATTTTTTCTTCAATCAAACACCTCCTAAGGGGTATAATTTCTCATTGTGTAAATACTTAAAGAGGCAATGATATGAATCAAAATTCAATGGAGTTACCGTGACTTTCTTATGTATGGCTGAGAGAGGGAGAAGGTATAAGGGCTAGTTACCTCTATATTTATGCAATGCAATAATTTATGAATGCAATATGAGGTGGAGACGAGGAATATCTATCGGTGAGAGAAATATTTCCTAATAATATGAGAAAGTAGTCTAATCATATTGCCTATTATCTCACCCTTAGTGTGAGAAATTGCTCCATCATCACATTTAATAGGTGAATTGTATAGAGAGTGAGGATCCTTTAAGGTGAGATTCATATGTTTATGTGGTTCTATTTTTTCATGTTATTGAAGACAACTATCTCCTATTATAAACAAATGATATATGGAGCTCACCACCCATTAAAAAAAATGGTGGCACAATTTTATATGTGAGAAGAGCATGAAATAACTTTCTCATATAACATGAGAGAATGATTTCTTTATGTTTATTATAGGAAAACAGGGGAGAAACCCCTTAATGAACCTTTTGTAGGTCGACCCATATATATTGGGATGTGAAGATTGATCCACACACACAGGGTTCCCGACTTCTCATGTTGTTGCAAAAAATTTTCTATTATGCAACCAATTACAATTATGTACTAAGGATAGTATATAGTTATAATATTAAAATTGTTTTTTTTTCTCTCCGCTATGTTGGCCGATAATTTTTTAAAAAAGTATCTTTTAAAATTATAACTATGTACTACTCCTAGTACATAGTTATAATTGGTTACTGTAAAAAAATTTCCCTTGCAGCAACATGAGAAATAATTTTGCCATATATATTCTACAAAATTAAACATTTTCCATATATAACAATCACTAGATGAGGTTATCAAAATCACTAAGATTGTATGTGTGTTTTTATTTTGACTCTCCCAAGAAATAGACTCTTCGACCAAAGTGGGGCTTTTACTCTTTTAATTTCCTTATCATATATTTGATTCCCGATGTTTACCAATGGGGGTCTATTAGTGTCGCAGGGTTATCCCAATGCCACTGAGTGTCACGAACCCCCTCTGACACTCACATAACTTTTT